TAGTTAGTGAATGAGAGAAAGGGTGAGAGAAACCCAGTGAGAATCTCTATTGCAACAGAAACATCACAAAGAGAGAATAAGCTTGTAACTGAAATAATCTATTAAGGAAAGAAACACAGTTTAAAGAAAAATAAGTTTGAAACCTGTTTAGTGGAAGTAAGAGTCCTTTCCAGAGTTGTTCAAGAAACGTTATAAATGTAACCTTTGAAGATTTGTGCCTCTAAGAGTAAGAAACATTGAAACCATCACGCTCCTTCTACATTTCAATAAACTTGTTACTGTTTTTTTCCTAAAACCTTGTCTCTGTTACAATTCCTTTCCAAGTTAAGTCACGCTACACAGAAGAAAGACCAAATCAATATTATTAGCTATAAGCTACGCTATCAATTTAATAAGCCCTTACAAAGTGGTGGCTCCTTTACAAACTCTTCACAAATTGGTGGCCTTGTTACAAATTAGTGGCATCTTCGCGAATCGGTACAGTTCCCAATTCCTGGCATCCTCTCCCAACAGTTTTTTCGAGTAATTTTTATTTATATTTGCTATTTTTTACAGTGTTAGATGTTAGAACATTGGTTTAAATGTAATGAAATATTGTTTGTAGTTTAAAATGTGTTTGGTGTAGCAATGCAATGTAAGAGTTAAATGCATAGACCTATGCTTGATTCCCAGAGCATAACTTTTGAGTGTTTCGGTAATGTGTTTACATTCCAGAAAAATCAGATAGCCATCTGCTTCCTTGGAGACTAGGACGCGGAACAATGGCTTCAAACTACAAGAAAGGAGATTCCATCTGATCACGAGGAAGAACTTCCTGACTGTGAGAGCCGTTCAGCAGTGGAACTCTCTGCCCTGGAGTGTGGTGGAGGCTCCTTCTTTGGAAGCTTTTAAACAGAGGCTAGATGGCCATCTGTCAGGGGTGATTTGAATGCAATATTCCTGCTTCTTGGCAGGGGGTTGGACTGGATGGCCCATGAGGTCTCTTCCAACTCTTTGATTCTATGATTCTATGCTTTTGAGCTTCCAGCGATGTACAGCTAGCAAATGAATGTGTTATATTCTGCTCTTGTAAATAGTGTAAATTGCAATAAAAGATAAGTACTGCTCTGGGCTTTGGAGCTGACAGAGGTAGCACGCTTCATTATTTGCTTTTGTGCCTTTGAGCAGATGCTCATTAGATAGCATTTCCTTATCAATTTTGTAATAGTTTTCTTTAACTCGTATTGATACGTTTTTCAAGTGTCTTTGTTCCCATAATTGTGACCACAACCGTACTCTCAATTTTTGGTTTTCATGCCCAATCTAAGCTGAGAGACTTCCTCAGACAGGAAACAGTGATGTCTGTATCTGAACCCTTCTGTGTATATGAATAGAAATCCACGTCCACATTTTCACATTTCCAGACTCCCATTTTGACTTTTCAGGTTTCTATTTATAGGAGTATAATTACACAGCCTTCCACATATTGCTAAATTATAGGTCCCATTATAGTCATCAGTGAGGACCAAGGCAGTGACATCTCCAGCCCATCCCTTGTTTGGGTATCAGCCAGCATGTCAACGACTTAAATCAAGAAATAGTTTCCTAAGATCTACCGAGACACTCGCTGGAACACCTCAGCAAGCGAGAGTCCAAAAGTGGCAGGCTCAAACCCAGAACCTCAATCAATGGCTGACACCAGATGAGAGACTCCCTTCTGGGCACACAGAAGACTGAGCGACTTGGAAGGCACTGAACAGACTGCACTCGGGCACGACAAGATGCAGAGCCAACCTTAAGAAATGGGGCTACAAAGTGGAATCCACGACATGGGAGTGTGGAGAAGAGCAAACTACAGACCACCTACTGCAATGTAATCTGAGCCCTGCTACATGCACAATGGAGGACCTTCTTGCGGCAATACCAGAGGCACTCCAAGGGGCCAGCTACTGGTCAAAGGACATTTAATCAACTATCAAACTTGCAAATTCTGTGTTTTGTCTGTTTGTTTGTTTGTTTTTATTAAAAATGTAATACAAATGTCTGGTTGCTGATGACACGATAAATAAAATCAGTGAGGAATATAGTTGGAATCAGCCAACCATAGATTTGGCTGCTCCCTCCTCTTTCTGCGTTCCTGACAGAAACCAATGGCTAGCGTGACTGGCAGGATTCATTTGCAGCAGGTGATGATACCGGGTTTGTTAGTGGCTTTACATATATTTTATACAGTTGGCCCTCCATAGTTGCAGATTTAACTTTGGCACATTTGATTAATATGGTCTCTCCAAAGATCTGCAGATCCTCCAGCACAACGCTATGGTTAACTTCTGGCAGATGTTGACCATGGAATCGTACTGGAGGATCTAGAGATTCCTAGAGAGATGTTCTCTCTAGGAATAATGTTTCTTATTTGCAGTTTTTCATCTTTGATGGGTGTCCTAAGCCCCCAATCCCAGTGAATATGGAGGAATGACCACACAAGAGACTTTTGAGGACTTGTGGATTTTGGAATCCACAGGGGCCCCTGAAAATCAATTTCCCATTGTCAATTGTACTGGGAAATAAAGTCTCAATACTTTTGCAAACTGAATCAGATTTTATGCAGCATTTAAAAATTTGTATACAGTGTTCCCTCACTTATTGCGGGTGTTGCCTTCCAGGACCACCCATGATAAGTGAAATATCGTGAAGCAGGAACACTCCCCCCCTCACATACTTTGCCTTCTTTTTCCTCTCCTCTTTCCCCTCCCTTCCTCCCTCCCTCGGGCACTCATGCCACCCTCCCTTGGCAAGAGGGACACTTTCACTTGCGTGGGAAAGAGGAGAGGAAAGAGAAGGCAAAGTGTGTGTGTGTGAGAGAGGGAGAGAAGGCAAGGAGGAGGGCTGTGTACAGAAAACTGTGAAACAGCGAGTCTGCGGTAAGCGAACTGCGAAAGAGCGAGGAAATACTGTACGCTGAATCACTAGAAAGCAAATGTGTCACTTTCTCAGCCACCCATATGGAAATTTTTAGAGTAAGCTGCATTTTTAAAATCCTGAGATAGGATGCTCAACTTGTAGAAACATAGAATCCTAGCATTGGAAGAGACATCCAATCCAACCCCATTCCACCATATAGCCATCCAGCCTCAGCTGAAAAACCTCCAAAGGAGGAGATGCCATCACTCTGAGTCACCAGCATATTCCACAGCCAAACAGCTCTTAGCATCAGGAGGTTCACCCTAAAGCAGTGGTTCTCAACCTGTGGGTCCCCAAACGTTTTGGCCTTCAACTCCCAGAAATCCTAACAGCTGGTAAACTGGCTGGGATGTCCGGGAGTTGTAGGCCAAAACACCTGGGGACCCACAGGTTGACAACCACTGACCTAAAGTTTAGGTGGAATCCGTTTCATTCTAATTTAAATCCATTACTTTGTGTCTTAGTCTCCAGAGCAGCAGAAAAGCAAGCTGCCCCCTCTTCAATATGACGTCCTTTCAAATATAACGACAGAATAAAATAATAATTATAGTAAACCTGTGAGTATTTTCTGCTGCTCACCCGGTGATGAGCTCTCAACCATAGTGTCTCCATTCTCGAGGCCTTTGTAGGTAGCGTTTCCAACCAAGTGGATTCTCTGGTGTTTGGTCAAATAGGGTCTCCACCGGAAGCTCTCTCCGCACTGGAGGCACTTGTACGGTTTCTCCCCCGTGTGGATTCTCAGGTGTTCGGTAAGGGTGGAGCGACGATTGAAGCTCCGTCCACATTTGGGACATTCGTAAGGCTTCTCCCCTGTATGAATCCGCCGGTGGGCGCTCAAGTGGGAGCTCTGGATGAAGCGTTTCCCACACGCCAGGCACTCGTAGGGCTTCTCTCCCGTGTGAGTCCGCCAGTGCAACAAAAACTCGGATTTGCAGTGGAACCATCGGTCGCACTCGGGACACATCAGCTTCTTCCGGCCCACGTGGAACATGCTGCGCTTCGAATTGGCTGCTCTCAAGTGCCTTGGCGGTTCGCGCCACATGTGCCCCAGCTGAGGGTCCCATTGCCTTTGCAGGCCGCGCCGCATCTCGTGGTTCAAGGGGACACTGCCTGGGGGGGCCGCCAGCAAAGTCCAGTGAGGTTCCACTTGACCTGAGATATCGGTCTCGGGGATCTCTTCTTTGATCTCTCTCACAATCACTTCACTCGCTGGGATAGAGGAGGAAAACAAGGAGAGCTCATTCCCTGGAAGAGAAAAGGAAGAGATGTCATGAAATAATGACGTATGGCTTGAATTGAATTGTATGACAGATGTATGTTTGGGGTCTATATAGTCTAGAGATGCCATCCTAAGATTGAGGCCTGAAAAACTATAAGAAGGAGGTGAAGAATTAATGGACTGTAATTAAAAGTTGTTGATGACCAGCGACAATGATTAACTGGGATTAACATAACTCAAAAACCACTGGACGAATCGACACCAAATTTGGACACAATACACCTATCAGATCAATGAGTGACCATCACTCATAAACACACTAAAAACACAGAGGAAGGGACTTAAAAAGCCAAAAAAATAAAAATAAATTACAACGCATGTGCAAAACCACATATATACACATATGCACAAATATATACACACACATATACACGCACAAAACACATATACACTGACTGGGCCACAGCAACGCATAGCAGGGGATGGCTAGTAAATTATAGAACACCTTAGCTTTGAATAAATACTTTTGCTTGTGTGTCTTCTCTCACCTTCGGAAAGGTTTATAGGGATCTTCTTGCTCTCCGTTGTCGGAAGATTTGAGACCCACGGTTCCTCCCCTCGTTCCAACCGGGCGATCAGCTCAGGTTTAGGGATGGGAATGGCTACGGTTGCCCATAAATACAAACAAGGAAAAAAATTAAACATCCTTTAAATGATCACCAGAAGGTTTTGCTTGATTAATTTTTCTTCAGGCTACAGAAAAACAGGGTGAACAATAAACAGATGATAGGCATAGGGAACTTAGGGACATACAAGCAGAGAGAGGAATTCTCCATGGCTAAATCTGTCTCCCTTTCCCTCCCAAAACTACAAAACTTCTGGGAATGTAGTGAAGGCTCTTTCTTTGGAGGCTGGGTAAATACGCTAGTTGTCACTAAAAATCAAAGGAGTCCTACCTAAAGACGCCACATTTTCGTAGTTCCCTTGCATGACATCCCAGTACAGATCTCTCTGCTCCGCATTCAAGAGGCCCCACTCCTCTTCGGTGAAGTACACAGCCACCTCTTCAAAGGAGAATGGCGGTGCCTGGAAGAGGATGGAAATAAAAGATTTGCTTCACCGCTCTTTCCCTCTTCTCCATTTTGCTTTATTTGTTACTTTTGATAAAGACCGTTAAAGTGGAACAAAACCACCATCTCCAACCCCCTCTCTACCTGAACTGGCTCCGCGGCCACCATCTCTCTTCCTCCAGAGGAAGGGAACGTTCCAAAGAGAAACACACACATCATTTTGCCAAACCTGTCGGGGACAAAATGTCAATAAAGAATAACTTATTTCAGTCTCATCCTTTGAAGAAAGTTCTGTCTCATGAGAAAGAAATCAACATCAACCCTGTGATGGCACTCCCGAGCCTTTGGGGAAACTATATTGCCTGGCTTTACTCAGAGGCACTTTAGGCAAGGTAAAAAGATAACCAAATGAGTTTACTGAAACAAGATAAATAAAGGATTAACTCCACCCAGGACTATCATAAGGTAACTTAAACCAATACATTACAAAAGGAGAATTGCTAGTTGTAGTGATCTTTCTGGAATCTTTGAAAGTCTTTGCCTCTGGTGCAAAGTGATGGATTATAAATTGTTTACAAACTATCTTAATCTTCTCTCCTGTGAAGCTCAGGCTAGACAAAAGCTTCTGTTGTCCTTTGGACTGATGGTATAAAAATACCACTGAATGCAGCAGGTGCTAAGAATGCCTGTTTTGGATTGCTTGGCCTAGGATTACCAGACAATGCCCCAAGCCACTGTTCTCTGTAACTCTGCTGCAGAAGAAAAAGGAGTCTAGCAAAGGAGCTCTATACAGGAAATGGAATAGACCAACTAAGGCTAGCCTTTAGGGGTTTTTACGCTTCACCCAAAAACTAATACAAAGGATGTTATCTATACTATTGGGAAGGTCGATAAACAGGGGGAATTAAAGCAGAGAAGAGGAGAAGGCAGAGCCAAGACTTCACAACCACCGTCTCCAATCCGTTTATATTCATAACCACTTTGAGTCTCAATGTGTTGTCAAAGGCCGGAATCACTGGGTTGCTGTGACTTTTCCAGGCTGCATGACCATGTTCCACAAGCATTCTCTCCTGACGTTTCGCCCACATCTATGGCAGGAATCCTCAGGGGTTGTGAGGTCTGTTGGAAATTAGGCAAGTGAGGTTTATATAGCTGTGGAATAATGTCCAGAGTGGGAGAAAGAACCCTTCTCTGTTTGAGGCAAGTGTGAATGTTGCAGTTGGCCACCTTGATTAGCATTGAATAGCCTTGCAGCTTCAAAGCCTGGCTGCTTCCTGCCTTGGAAGAAAGCACTTTACATTAGGAAGAACTTTCTGAATGTGAGCGTTGTGAGAGCTGTTCAATAGTGGAACGCTCTACCCCGAAGTGTGGTGGAGGCTACTTCTATGGAGGCTTTTAAATAGAGGCTTGATGGCCATCTGTTGGGGGTGCTTTGAACGCGATTGTCCTGCTTCTAGGCAGGGGGTTGGACTAGATGGCCCCACAGGTTTCTTCCAACTCTATGATTCTATAGGGGAATCCTTTGTTGGGAAGTGTTAGCTGGCCCTGATTGTTTCCTGTCTGGTCCTCTCACTTCTGCAGGAGTCTACCGTATACCACGCAGCTGTGGACAAGTCTACATAGGGACCACCAAATGCAACGCCCAAACATGAATCAAGGAACATGAAAGGCACTGCAGACTACTTCAACCAGAGAAGTCAACCATAGCAGAGCACCTGATGAACCAACCTGGACACAGCATATTATTTGAGAACACAGAAATGCTGGACCACTCTCACAACCACCATGTCAGACTACACAGAGAAGCCACTGAAATCCACAAGAAGCATGTGGACAATTTCAACAGAAAGGAGGAAGCCATGAAAATGAACAAAATCGAGCTGCCAGTATTTTAAAAACTCTGAAATCAGGACAGTAAATAAAGAGCAACACTACTTAGCACCCAGGATCAGGTCCTCTCGGGTGCCTCTTGTCCACACCTTGGGCCAAATCCAACCCTGGGATCTCTTAGCTCTCCTCCATCATCTCCATAGACGCCGCTGGGCCGGATCTTATAACATTTGCCCTGGGAAGCTCAGCCTCCAGTGGAAGGAAAGGAAGAAAGAATGAGAGAGAAGGGAAAAAAGAGAGAGAGAGAAAGAAAGAAAGAGAGGAGCTTTCAGCAGATGCTCCTTTCCCAAGCTCCAAACCAGGGCCCTCTTGTGGTCAAGCAGGGTGCATCCACAATGTAGAATTTGCAATCCATCTACACTGAGTATTTAATCCAGTTTCAAATCGGCATTGGAAGAAAAGTGTGTTTGCTGTGCAGGTAGAAAGGAAATCCTGGAACCACTTTGAAGTCCTGATGACGGCATTTGTTTCTAAGTGTTTGCAGACCGCTTCCTTAACAATCTTTTCCAGAATCTTGCCTGGTATCGACGTGAGGCTGACCGGACGGTAGTTGTTTGGGTCATCCTTTTTTCCCTTCTTGAAGATTGGGACCACATTGGCCCTCCTCCAATCTGCTGGAACTTCTCCCATTCTCCAAGAACTCTCAAAGATGGTTGCCAATGGTTCCGAAATGACTTCCGCTAGTTCCTTCAATACTCTGGGGTGTAGTTGATCTGACCCTGGGGACTTGAACTCATTTAGAGCGGCCAGGTATTCCTGGGCGACTTGTTTCCCAATTTGGGGTTAAAGGTAAAGGTAAAGGTAGTCCCCTGACATTAAGTCCAGTCATGTCTGACTCTGGGGTGTGGTGCTCATCTCCATTTCTAAGCCGAAGAGCCAGCGTTGTCCGTAGACACCTCCAAGGTCATGTGGCCGGCATGACTGCATGGAGCGTTAACTTCCCCTGGAGCGGTACCTATTGATCTACTCACATTTGCATGTTTTCGAACTGCTAGGTTGGCAGAAGCTGGGGCTGACAGCGGAAGCTCACACCCCTCCCCGGATTCGAACCTGCAACCTTTTGGTCAACAAGTTCAGAAGCTCAGGCTTTAACCCACTGCACGACTTGTGTCCCAATTTGGGGTTGGATGTCCTCTAATCCCTCCTCCACTCCATCTTGCTGAGGTTGAAGATGACTTTCTTTTTGTGAGAAGACCGAGGCAAAGAAGGCATTAAGTAGTTCTGCCTTTTCCCTATCCCCTGTCAGCATTGCCCCATCTTCTCCTCGAAGACGTTAGCTTCAAATTGCATCAAATGGACAGTGTAGATGCCGAGTTGTTGTAGGTTTTCCGGGCTATATGGCCATGTTCTAGAGGCATTTTCTCATGACGTTTCGCCTGCATCTATGGCAAGCATCCTCAGAGGTAGTGAGGTCTGTTGGAAGTAGGAAAATGGGTTTATATATCTGTGGAAAGACCAGGGTGGGACAAAGGACTTTTGTCTGCTGGAGCTAGGTGTGAATGTTTCAACTGACCACCTTGATTAGCATTTAATGGCTTGGAAGTGCCTGGGGGAATCTTTCACATCAGGCACATCAAATCACCTCTCAAAGAAAGCAGACCTTTGTCCCACACTGGACAAGCAGACAAATGTCAATATGCTGGAAGAAGCAAAGACCACCAGCACTGAAGCGATGGTCTTCTGCCACCAACTCCGCTGGACCAGCCACGTTGTCCGAATGGCCGAATGCAGTTTCTCTACTCTGAACTCAAGAACTGAAAATGTAATGCTGCAGGGCAGGAAGAGAGATTTAAAGATGGGCTCAAAGCCAACCTCAAAAACTGTGGCATAGGCACCGAGAACTGGGAAGCCCTGGTTCTTGAGCGCTCCAGCTGGAGGTCAGCTGTGACCATCAGTGCTGTAGAATTTGAAGAGGCATGAATGGAGGGCAAAAGAGAGAAACGTGCCAAGAGGAGTGTCAAGAATGTGTGTCAAGCCACCCCACCGGGACCGCCTTCCACCTGGAAACCGATGCCCTCACTGCGGGAAAACATACAGGTCAAGAATAGGGCTCCACAGTCACCTACGGACCTACCACCAGGAGACCGAACTTGGGGGAGAATCTTATTCGGACAAAGAGGGATCGCCTAAGTAAGTACTTGGGATGCATTCACACTGTAGAATTAATGCAATTCTATAGGATCATGAGAGTTGTAGTTTTACAAGTCCCTTAACATTCTCACCAAACTACAACTCCTACGATTCCATATATGGAACGACCAACGATGCAATTGGACAATGATTTCAGTAAGGAGACGCCGAGGATTTTGTTTTTACAGGCTGTATTGTTTTTGATATCACATTTTAAATGTTTTGTTTTGATAATTGTTTTAACTGTATTTTTATAATTGTAATGGCATCGAATCGCTGTCGACTGTTGAGTCGCCTCTGGCTGAGAAAGGCGGTATTTTTTAAAATTTATTTATCGTGTCAGGCAACCGAAGAGTTGTATTACATTTTTGACAGAACAAACAAACAAACATACAAAAGACACAGAGTTTGCAAGCTTGGTAGTTGATTAAATATCCTTTGACCAGTATCTGGCCACTTGGAGTGCCTCTGGTGTTGCCGCAAGAAGGTCCTCCATTGTGCATGTGGCAGGGCTCAGGTTGCATTGCAGCAGGTGGTCAGTGGTTTGCTCTTCTCCACACTCGCATGTCAGTGGATTCCACTTTGTAGCCCCATTTCTTAAGGTTGGCTCTGCATCTCGTGGTGCCAGAGCGCAGTCTGTTCAGCGCCTTCCAAGTCACCCAGTTTTCTGTGTGCTCAGGGGAAGTCTCTCATTTGGTATCAACCATTGATCGAGGCTCTGCCACTTTTGGACTCTCGCTTCCTGAGGTGTTCCAGCAAGTGTCTCTGTAGATCTTAGAAAACTATTTCTTGATTTAAGTTGTTGATGTGCTGGCTGACGCCCAAACAAGGGATGAGCTGGAGATGTCCTCCATTGTGCATGTGGCAGGGCTCAGGTTGCATTGCAGCAGGTGGTCAGTGGTTTGCTCTTCTCCACACTCGCATGTTGTGGATTCAACTTTGTGGCCCCATTTCTTGAGGTTGGCTCTGCATCTCGTGGTGCCAGAGCAGTCTGTTCCAAGTCGCCCAGTTTTCTGTGTGCCCAGGGGGGAGTCTCTCATTTGGTATCAGCCATTGATTGAGGTTCTGGGTTTGAGCCTGCCACTTTTGGACTCTCGCTTGCTGAGGTGTTCCAACAAGTGTCTCTGTAGATCTTAGAAAACTATTTCTTGATTTAAGTCGTTGACGTGCTGGCTGATACCCAAACAGGGGATGAGCTGGAGAAGTCTCTGCCTTGGTCCTTTCACTATTGGCTGCTACTTCCCGGCGGATGTCAGGTGGTGCAATACCGGCTAAGCAGTGTAATTTCTCCAGTGGTGTAGGGCGCAGACACCCCGTGATAATGCGGCATGTCTCATTAAGAGCCACATCCACTGTTTTAGTGGTGAGATGTGTTCCACACTGGGCATGCATACTCAGCAGCAGAGTAGCACAGCGCAAGGGCGGATGTCTTCACTGTGTCTTGTTGTGATCCCCAGGTTGTGCCAGTCCGCTTTCGTATGATATTGTTTCTAGCACCCAGAAGCAACCAGGCGGTATACAAATGCGGTAAATGAATGAATGAATGAAGCCCTGCTAATGAAAGGGGTGTCAATCAAGCTGCATCAATTCTATAGTGAAGATGCAGCCTTCTTCCTCTTGAGGGCGCAATCTGCTTTGCTTGGGAGGAAGCCTTGCAAAGAGTTAAGCCCAGAGAGAGGCCTGTTTTGCTAGAAAAGCCCGGGACTCTGCTAGGGCTTTTTGTGGGAGGACTTTAATAGTAGATGCACCTTCCTGTCCTGCTTTTCTCTACCCCGAGGGGAAAGAAAAATCGCCTTTCGGATTTCCCAATCTCTGTTTCTTGCAAGGTGCAATTGATCCCTTGCAAGGGGGCCCTGCAGGCAGGTGAGTGGATTTTGCAAAACAAGAGGGATTTTTGCAACTCTAGTTTGGAGGGTAAACAAAAAAAGAGGAAGTAAAATCTGCAATTAGGAAGCAAGGAAGGAAGGAGAGATTTTGCATCTCTTTGAAAAAAATTTAATTGCATCCTCAGGTTTAATTTGCAAGACTCAGAAATTCCCAGGGGTGATAATGTTGCAAGAGCAAAGCAGGGCTGCCAACATTTGAGCCTTGCAGGGATTAGTAGTATAAGCCCTTTCTTGTGGATGCATCCACACTGTAGTAGAATGAATGTGGTTTGGCGCCACTTTAGCTGCCAGGGCTCAATGCTATGGAATGCTGGGAGTTGTAGTTTTGGTGAGGCAGAGGAGCCTATGGATCTTGCAAAACTGCAACTCCCAAATGTCAAATTGCATTCAGTCTACTTGCTGATGCACCCCAAGGCTCTTCCCCCCCCCCCGTGAATTTTCTGCAGCTTTTAAAAGGAGGCATCTACACCAGGCATGAGCCGGCTGTTAGGAATTGTGGGAGTTGAAGTCCAAAACCCCTGGAGGGCCCAAGTTTGTCAATACCCGATCTACACAATAGAATGAGTGCAGTTCATTTATTTATTTACTTACTGTATATACTCGAGTATAAGCCTAGTTTTTCTTTCCTTTTTTTAGGCTGAAAAAGTCATCCCCGTCTTATACTCGAGTCAAGGTTATTTATTATTTTACTTTGTTGTTGTTGTTGTTTTATTTTATTTATTTTATTTACTGCATTTGTATACTGCCTTGCTCAGCCGATCAGCGACTCAAGGCGGTTTCCAACAAAACAGTATACATAATATCATAGTACAGTTTAAAACATTAAAACAACATAAAACACAACAAGCAATAAAAACAACATCATTAGCATCTCCTTATTGTCAAGCATTGTCCAGTTCCATCGTCAAATCATCAGTTTCCTATATCAGTTACCTATATTATTATTGTTGTTATTACATTTATTATTTTACTCTATTATTACTATTACTATTACATTCCATTATTTTACTCTACTATTATTATTATTATTATTTTACTCTATTTATTATTATTGGAAGGATATGTAAGCATATTTATATTGAAGAAGGTTAGAATAATGGTTGAATCAGAGTTGGACAGTCTTATGTTGAATTACAGTTTTATGTAAATATTCAAAAACATTTAACTAACTGATGCCTCAATTTAATGTAATTTTATTGGTATCTATTTTTATTTTGAAATTTACCAGTAGCTGCGGTATTTTCCACCCTAGACTTATATTCGAGTCAATCCATTTCCCCAGTTTTTTGTGGTAAAATTAGGTGCCTCGGCTTATATTTGGGTCGGCTTATACTCGAGTATATACGGTATTTTGTACATTTATATCCTGTCCTCACCACCGGGGTGGGGAGGGGTACACTTCTGAAGCTTTTTAAAGGAGGCATCTACACCAGGCATGGGCCAACTTCGGCCCTCCAGGTGTTTTGGACTTCAACTTCCATAATTCCTAACACCAGCTGTTAGGAATTATGGGAGTTGAAGTCCAAAACACCTGGAGGGCTGAAGTTTGCCAATGCCTGATCTACACAATGCAATGAGTGCAGTTCATTTATTTATTTACTTATTTTGTGCATTTGTATCCCGTCCTTCTCACCCCTGGGGTAGGGAGGGGTGGCTTCACAACAAGTACTCATTTGAGTGCTAACCACAAACACAAAACACATTTAAAAACAATTCATTAATTCAAAAACAATTCAGGATTGAGTCCCCCCCGGGGGTTGAGAAGGGCTGGGTAGAAGTACTCGAAATAAATAAATAAATAAAATTGTGGCGCAGCTGGCTGAGTGTCAGCTGCATTAAGATCACTTTGACCAAAAGGTCATGAGAATTGAAGCCAGCCCGGGTTGGAGTGGGTTTCCAACCAATTGTGTGTAGCCTGTTGTCGACCTTTGCAACCCGAAAGACAGTTGCATCTGTCAAGTAGAAAAATTAGGTACCACCTTAAAAGTGTGGGGAGGCTAAATTAACTAATTTATGAGGCCATTAAAAAAAAACTCCAGCAAGCACTCCAGCAAAAAGCATGCGGGGAATGCGGAAGTATTTCATCAGTGTCGCAGATGGACGATAAAAGCGACAGCTCCCCTGGCGGCCAGAAAAAGTTAAATAGCCTCTGTCTATGTCTGTATATGTTGTATGTCAAAATTGGCATCGAATGTTTGCCATATATGTGTACACTGTAATCCGCCCTGAGTCCCCTGCGGGGTGAGAAGGGAGGAATATAAAAGCTGTAAATAAATAAATAAATAAATAGAATACATTACATTAAGAAACATTTGATTAAAATCACGCCGGTTCAAAATCAGTGCCTGGGACAGTCCATTGTCATACATATCACATTGAGTCTTATTCCTGGTTGTTGCTGCTACTGTTGAAATGCTTGGTCCCATAACCAGGTTTTCAGTTTCTTTCTAAAGAACAGGAGGGAGGGAGGCAATCTGATGTCACTGGGGAAAGAGTTCCACAGGCGAGGGGCCATCACTGAGAAGGCCCTGCTTCTTGTCCCCACCAGTCACATTTACGATGGTGGTGGGATTGAGAGCAGGGCCTCTCCAGCTGATCTTAATCTTTGTGATGGTTTGTAATGGAGATACAATACATTAATCATATTTTGTTGGATGTGTGGAGGTAAAATTGGTGCCATGGACCTTGTAGGCGTAAGGTTTGCACTGCATATCTGCTGCCTTTTTCTCATTGTCTTGTCCCCTTCTCCCTTGCAGACAATCCATTCTCACTCCTTAAGGATGCCATCTGATTGATCCCTTTGTAAAAAAGTTTCTCTTTACATCCTGGATAAAAACTCAATGGAAACCAGTCTCTTTTGCTGACAATATTACAGAAGGAAAAGGCCAAATTGAAGAAGAGGAAGATTTCTACAATTTTACAAGACTGTCCAAATTTGGGTCTTGTTCAGAAGGGAAATGGCTGCCGAGGAAGGTTCGAAAAGGTCCACGCCTGGGCACCCGAGGGTCAAAACGGAAGACCACGACCCCACGGGCCCCAAAATAGCAGAAGGGGCAGAAAGGGCCAGCAAATCACCTCGCGTCCTTCAAGTCGGGACCATCAGGGAGTTCCTCAACTGGGCTGCTCCCCTCCAAGTCAAGGAGGAGCCCGAGGAAGGCTTGCCCGAACGCTGGGAAGCCCAGTGGCAGGAGTTCCTCGCTGCCATGCAGTCCTCCCATCTCGGGTGGGGAGGCCCACCGCTGACCGAAGACGTGGTGCCCTGGGGGGACAATAAGGCCTTCTTTGCCTCCTTCGAACGCCTGGCTGGGACTTGCAAGCTTCCCCGGCATGAATGGTTGGCCCGCCTCTTGCCCGTGTTGAGCCGAGAGGCCAAGGAGGCCTACAGCAACCTCAGCGCCCGAGACCGCGGGGAATACGGCAAGGTCAAGGCGGCCATCTTGAAAGTGGACGCCATCCGGATGGAGACCCAGCGCCAGCGCTTCCGGCAGTTCCGCTTCCACGAGGCCAAGGGGCCCCGGGAGGTGTGCAGCCAGCTGCGGGAGCTGTGCCGCGGGTGGCTCAAGCCAGAGAAGCACACCAAGGAGCAGATCTTGGACCTCCTTGTCCTGGAGCAGTTCCTGACCCTCTTGCCGCACGAAATCCAGAGCTGGGTCAGGGAGCACGACCCGGAGACCTGCGCCCAGGCGGTGCCCCTGGCAGAAGCGTTCATGCTGAAGCGCCGGGAGACAGAGAGGAAGGAAAGACAGGTGAGTCCCTTGACACTTGCAAAAAAGATGACTGAGAGGAGACATGATAGCCATTTATAAATATGTGAGGGGAAGTCGCAGGGAGCAAACTTGTTTTCTGCTGCCCTGGAGACTAGGACGCAATGGAACAATGGCTTCAAACTACAAGAAAGGAGATTCCACCTGAACATTAGCAAGGACTTCCTGACTGTGAGAGCTGTTCAGCAGTGGAACTCTCTGCCCCGGAGTGTGGTGGAGGCTCCTTCTTTGACTTCCTCCCTATGACTTCCTCTCACATATTTATACATGGCCCTGATCATGTCTCCTCTCAGCCTTCTCTTCTTCAGGCTAAAATGATCAAGGGTCTGGAGAACAAGCCCTATAAGGAGCGGCTTAAAGAGCTGGGCATGTTTAGCCTGAAGAAGAGAAGGCTGAGAGGAGATACATGATAGCCATGTATAAATATGTGAGAGGAAGTCATAGGGAGGAGGTAGCAAGCTTGTTTTCTGCTGCCCTGGAGACGAGGACGCCATTGAACAATGGTTTCAAACTACAAGAAAGGAGATTCCACCTGAACATGAGGAAGAACTTCCTGACTGTGAGAGCCGTTCAGCAGTGGAACTCTCTGCCCTGGAGTGTGGTGGAGGCTCCTTTGGAGGCTTTTAAACAGTGGCTGGATGGCCGTCTGTCGGGGGTGCTTTCAATGCGATTTTTCTGCTTCTTGGCAGGGGGTTGGACTGGATGGCCCCTGAGGTCTCTTCCAACTCTATGATTCTATGAAACGTATGAAACTTTGTGGACAGTGTATTTTGAAATTTCAGCTGACCAAAGTATATGCGCATTTATATGTTCAGTGTTGGCCCCTCCATTTGCCAATGGGGAGTCAGAAGGAGGGGATAAAACCCCCCAAACTAACAAGAGATAAAAATCTTAGAGCTAAAAAGTGTCAGCACCCCTCAAATATGATACGGTATAAGGTATCATGTTAATGTGTGGATCTGCATTTCAGACACTGGAAGCCCGGTTTGTGAGCAGGTCTGAGTCGAGAGCGTCTTCCTTTGGTGCCGGGCTGAAGCGGATCTGCAGAGAGGTGAAGCAAGAAAGCATAAGAGTTCTGGGTAAGGATTTGGCATTCCCCAGACCTTCGAACATAGTCACCGGTGTTCCTTAAAGGGAATCCAACCTCGGCCACTATCATCCCCCATTGAGTTTTTGTTGTTTGCTCTTGCCACGTAATTAAACTAATAGAAATGTAGTCAACCCACACGGTAAAGTAATGTTGTGCCATATGGAATGTGTCTGTTGGTTTCCACTAGGAACATATTGGTACAGGTTGAGCATCCTCTGTCCCAAAATATTCCCAAATTAAAAATTGTCTAGGGATTGGGGTGGATAGTTTGAAATAGTGACATCTTTGCTTTCTGGTAGTTCAAAATAAAACTTAGTCTCATGCACAAAAATATTTTAAAATATTGTGAATTTGTAGTTCACAACTCCCAGCAGCCCTGGACGGATGTACCTTGGATGTGCTTGCTGAGGCATTCTGGGAGCCGTAGGAGTCAGGTAACTATGGCTCCCAGAATGCCTCAGCTAACATATCCAAGGCACGCTGCCGCTCAGGACTGCCGGAAGTCGTCGTCTGGAGGCACTTTCTTGGGCTTAGCCCAGTGGCCTTTGCTGAGCTTGTTGACCAAAAGGTCACAGGTTCGAATCCGGGGAGCAGCGTGAGCTTCCGCTGTCAGCCCCAGCTTCTGCCAACCTAGCAGTTCGAAAATATGCAAATGTGAGTAGATCAGTAGGTACCGCTCCAGTGGGAAGATAATGGCGCTCCATGCAGTCATGCTGGCCACATGACGTTGGAGGTCTCTATGGACAACGCTGGCTCTTAGAAATGGAGATGAGCACCAATCCCCAAAGGTGGACATAACTGGACTTATAACAGGGGAAAACCTTTACTAACACATTTCAAGAGTTTCTCTCTCCTTGATACCTTAACTCTTGGGAAATTTAAGATCTCACCTACCCTTGCGTTTCAGATTCAAGTGACTCCGGTAGTGACTATGGGGAGAAGAAGGCAATTCGTAGCACAGAGAATGGTCTGAAAAGTCCTGGCAGAGCTCAGCTGAGTCCAAGGAGCTTCCTCCAGATCCCTGAGGCGAGGAAAATGTTCCACCAGAGCCAGGCCCTCATTAAACACCCGAGGGTCCACACAACCGAGAGCCCCCATCAGTGTCCGGATTGTGGCAAGCACTTCACCCAGCGCTCGAGCCTCACTATCCACCGGAGGATCCACACTGGGGAGAAGCCTTACCCTTGCCCTCAGTGCGGGAAGTGTTTCCGCCAGAGCTCCAACCTTCTCAAACACCAGAGAATCCACTCGGGCGAGAAGCCGCACCAGTGTCCCGAGTGCGGGAAGTGTTTTGCGCAGCGCTCGAACCTCCTCATCCACCAGCGGACCCACACAGGAGAGATGCCCTACGTGTGCTCCGAATGCGGGGCTTGTTTCAGCCAACACCGCGGCCTGGTCACTCACCAGCGGATCCACATGGAGGAGATGCCGTACGGCTACGGCTGCCCAGATTGCGGCAAATGCTTCCAGCAGAATTCGGATCTCACAAAGCACTTGCGCGTCCACACGGGCGAGAAGCCGTACAGCTGCCCCGAATGTGGCAAAAGCTTCAGCTACAGCTCCAACCTCAGCAAGCACCAAAGGATTCACACGGGCGAGAAGCCGTACCTCTGCAACGTGTGCGGGAAGAGCTTCAGCCACTTGTCCACCCGCAACACACACCAGAGGGTCCACACGGGGGAGAGGCCCTACGGCTGCACCGAGTGCGGGAAGCGCTTCATTTCCAGCTCCAAGCTCACAAGACACATGCGGACTCACTCGATCTACACCCCGTACATCTGCAACGAATGCGGGAGGAGCTTCAGTACCCACTCCATGCTGACGGCGCATCAGAGGATCCACTCGGCTGAGGGCTACGAGGTGGGCGATTCGTGGGAAGTGGCCGAACAGGGTCCGAGCAGCCACTTGGGCAGGTTGTCGCCGCTGTGATGGACGCCTGTTCCGTTCCTTATTGATTTAGTCTGTCCCGGTCGTATATAGGTCCCTTGTGATACTTAGAGGAAGGGTGCCAGGTCCCGAAAGTCTTGGAAACTGGAGGCCTGAAGTGTGCAGGCAGGAGGATGAGAAGAAGGAAGGATGGGATAGGATTAGTTTGGTGGTTTTGGAAAATAGAGGTAGGCTGGGGAAACAAAAATAATAGGGTAGTGAGAGGGATGGAATCAAGGTTTCAGGCTTGTATCGCCAGTTAGTTTTAGAAGGCAAAACCTAGTGCAGAATAGAGGTATTTTATCACAAGCAGGCCTCAAGACCAGCTCTTTGTAGTAATGCATGTCCCACTGAAATTTAGCACTGTGAGAACTAAATAGAGCCTCCAGATTCAGTAGCAGTATACCTCTGACTACCAGTAGCTTGACAATAAGCAGCAGGTGAAGGCAATGGCCAATCTCTGAGCTAGCTTTCTGGAGGCAGGACAGTAAAGAAGGAACAGCACTCAAAAACAGGGGAATTCCAGACAAGAAACAATCAGGGCCAGCTAATCACCTCAACAAAATCTGGCTGCCACTATTTTTAAAAACTAAAATCAGAACAGTAAATAAAAAGCAACTCTCAAAAAACAGGAATTCCAGACAAGAATCAATCAGGGCCAGCTAATCACCTCAACAAAATCTGGCTACCAATATTTTAAAAAAACTAAAATCAAAACAGTAAATAAAAAGCAACACGCAAAAAACAGGAATTCCAGTCAAGAATCAATCAGGGCCAGCTAATCACCTCAACAGGAATTCCAGACAAGAATCAGTTAGGACTAACTAATCACCTCAACAAAATCTGGCTACCAGTATTTTAAAAAACTCTAAAATCAGAACAGTAAATAAAGAGCAACACCCAAAAAACAGGAATTCCAGACAAGAATCAATCAGGGCCAGCTAATCACCTCAACAAAATCTGGCTACCAGTATTTAAAAAAACCTCTAAAATCAGAACAGTAAATAAAAAGCAACGCCCCAAAAAACGGGAACTCCAGACAAGAACCAATCAAGGCCATCTAATCACCTCAACAAAATCTGGCTACCAATATTTAAAAACAGGAAATAAACCAGAACAGTAAATAAAAAGAAACACCAAAAAAACAGGAATTCCAGACAAGAATCAATCAGAGCCAGCTAATCACCTCCTAACAAAGGATTCCCCCAGGCAGGATACAGCCAAGCCTTGAAGCTGCAAGGCTGCAAGGCTATTCAGTGCTAATTAAGGTGATCAATTGCAACATTCACACTTACTTCAAACAGTTCTTTCTCCCACCCTGGACATTCGACAGATATATAAACATCCCTTGTCCTAGTTTCCAACAGACCTCACAACCTCTGAGGATGCCTGCCATAGATGTGGGCAAAACGTCAGGAGAGAATACTTCTAGAACATTTTCATACAGCCTGGAAAACTCACAGCAATAAATAAGGAGGAAACCATGAAAATGAATGAAATCTGGCTACCGATATTTAAAAAACTCAAAAATCAAAATGCTGCAATTGGCCACCTTGATTAGAATTTAACAGCCAGACAAGAAACAATCAGGGCCAGCTAATCACCTCCCAACAAAGGATTCCCCCAGGCAGGAAGCAGCCAAGCCTTGAAGCTGCAAGGCTATTCAATGCTAATCAAGGTGATCAATTGCAGCATTCACACTTGCCTCAAACAGACAAGAGTTCTTTCTCCCACCCTGGACATTCCACAGATATAAACCTCACTTGCCTAGTTTCCAATACACCTCACAACCTCTGAGGATGCCTGTCATAGATGTGGGTGAAATGTCAGGAGAGAATGCTTCTGGAACATGGCCAGACAGCCCGGAAAACTCACAACAACCCAGTGATTCTGGCCGTGAAACCCTTCAACAACACCTTTAAGAGACTTAAGGCCCTGAACCTGGCCAGGGCCCCCCCCCCCCCCCATTGGATATGAGGATTTTATATGTTATCAAAGCAACAGAGAGCCAGCATAGTGTAATAAGATCTGGGGTTTTTTTTATCTATGTATTTATATATAACTTTAATAAAATTTATAATAAGATCTGGTTTTAATGTTAGACTACAATTCTAGGGCACCAAGGTTTGAATCCCTGCTTTGACTTGAAAAGCCACTGGGTTGACAACTTGAGCAAGAGAAGGAGAATGGCAAATCTCTTGCCAAGAAAATCCCGTGAAAGGCTTGCCTTCGTGTTCCAAAAAGTTGGAAATGAATGGAAGGCACATGACAACAACACCAAACTACAAATCCCAGGATACCATAGGATGGACCTATGACAGTGTGAATGGCATTCAGCTTGATACATACCTGTATAGTGTAGACTAGGCATGGGCAAACTTTGGCCCTCCAAGAGTTTTGGACTTCAACTCCCACAATTCCTAATAGCCGACCGGCTACCAGCCTGGTTCAGCCTCATAGAATCATAGAAACCTAGAGTTGGAAGAGACCTCATGGGCCATCCAGTCCAACCCCCTGCCAAGAAGCAGGAATATTGCATTCAAATCACCCCTGACAGATGGCCATCCAGCCTCTCTTTCAAAGCTTCCAAAGAAGGAGCTCCACCACACTCCGGGGCAGAGAGTTCCACTGCTGAACGGCTCTCACAGTCAGGAAGTTCTTCCTCGTATTCAGATGGAATCTCCTTTCTTGTAGTTTGAAGCCATTGTTCCGCCCTAGTCTCCAAGGAAGCAGAAAACAAGCTTGCTTCCTCCTCCCTGTGGCTTCCTCTCACATATTTATAAATGGCTATCATATCTCCTCTCAGCCTTCTCTTCTTCAGGCTAAACATGCCCAGCTCCTTAAGCCGCTCCTCATAGGGCTTGTTCTCCAGACCTTTTATCATTTTAGTCGCTCTCCTCTGGACACATTCCAGCTTGTCAATATCTCTCTTGAATTGTGGTGCCCAGAACTGGACACAATATTTCAGATGTGGTCTAACCAAAACAGAATAGAGGGGTAGCATTACTTCCCTAGATCTAGACACTATGCTCCTATTGATGCAGGCCAAAATCCCATTGGCTTTTTTTGCCGCCACATCACATTGTTGGCTCATGTTTAACTTGTTGTCCACGAGGACTCCAAGATCTTTTTCACACGTACTGCTCTCGAGCCAGCATTCCCCCATTCTATCTTTGCAAGATGCAGGAAAATCATGTTCAAATCACCCCTGACAGATGGCCATCCAGCCTCTGTTTAAAAGCTTCCAAAGAAGGAGCCTCCACCGCACTCCGGGGCAGAGAGTTCCACTGCTGAACAGCTCTCACAGTCAGGAAGTTCTTCCTCATGTTCAGATGGAATCTCCTCTCTTGTAGTTTGAAGCCATTGTTCCATTGTGTCCTAGTCTCCAAGGAAGCAGAAAACAAGCTTGCTCCCTCCTCCCTGTGGAATATTGGAATATTGTGGCCTGTTCGGTGCATCTTAGGGCAGAGAGGGGTTTTATAGCGCAGGAAAAGGGGCAGGAAACACAGCAACATGATGAGTCTGGAGTACCTTCTCTGTGAAAAAAGCTCATCACTTTTGAGTCAGTTTTGTGGTAAAAAAAAAATGTGAGAGATATACAGTCGACCCTCCACATTGTGCATCTCACTTTCGTGGATTGAATTATTCAGGGATTTGATTAATACGTTCTCTCTAGGAAGGCAGTGACAAATCTCTAAAGAAATGCTGTCAAGAAAACTCAGTAGGTTTAGCCTAAAGTCAGAAACAATAGCAGCACATGGATTGTCATGACCTTATTTCCTGGTTTTGTGTGAAGTCAGGAAATTAGGCCATCCCTTAGAATTGGCCTGTGTATATTTGAAACAAGGGAGAGGATTTCCATGGAAACAGGAGCAATGAAGAGGAGGGGCCAGGTTGAGAGAAGTAAACTGTCAGTTGGAATTTTGTTTCATACCCCACTGTATGCTTTTTGAAATAAAGCCTTCCCACTTGGTTCATGAGGTAATTTCTTCTCCAGAAAGCAACAGATCTGGACGTAAAATTCCAGATGACTATCTTCCACATTTTATTCAATCCGGACACAGATGACTATCTTGCATATTCAATCCACTTTATGGTGCTGAAATTGAGTTTTACACTCTTTTATCTGACAGACTTCCCTTTTATCGTGATTTTCTCCAAACTGGAAGCATCTTTACAGATAGTATGATCATTTATTTTGGAAAGAACCTATCAGATTTACAGAGTTCTTTGTAAATGAAGTGGAAGGAATCTGTGATTTTGGAGCGGGGCAAACAAGCAAAATAGGCAGCTTGTCCATCTTTAAGGGGCTACTATATTTTTTCCAAATGCTGGGCTTTGTAGTCACAGTATCTGAGCGAAGGCTAGGATTTATGTATCCTTTTTGTGCTTTGAAAATCAATTCTGTGTCACAAGAAATGTTGGATTTGGGCATTGTATATATAGATATATATATATAAACTGTTCAAAGTAGGTATGTTTGTGTACGTTTGTTTCTTTCATAGACTATTCTTACTACATTCCTTGGCACGATGCTGCTGTTTGCTATTATCTACCATATTTACAGTCTTCCTTTTCCTTCGGCTGGAATGCAAGGAGGCTTATAAAAGTTACCACAGATAAAGATTTTAATAAATGCAAAAGTTTACAAATATTCTTCAATTGTCAGTAGAATTACAGTACAGGTGAGTTCCCCTTATCCGAAATGCTTGTGACCAGTGTTGCTTATTTATTTTGTGTTACATTTGCATATGGAGATGGGACCCAAGTCTAAACATGACATTCATCAATGTTACACATTTATTTATTTATTTATGCTATTTCTACCCCGCCCATATCAACCCAAAGGCGACTCAGGGCGGCGAGCAAGTCGGCACAATTCGATGCCATATATAAAATACATACATTAACAAAAGTAAAAACTGGGTTGTTGTAGGTTTTTTCGGGCTATATGGCCATGTTTTAGAGGCATTCTCTCCTGACGTTTTGCCTGCATCTATGGCAAGCATCCTCAGAGGTCACTACCTCTGAGGATGCTTGCCATAGATGCAGGCGAAACGTCAGGAGAGAATGCCTCTAGAGTCCAGAACATGGCCATATAGCCCGAAAAAAACCTACAACAACCCAGTGATTCTGGCCATGAAAGCCTTCGACAATACAAAAGTAAAAACATCACAAAGTATTTAAAAGCATAAAAACAGCAAATAATAACATAGATCCTTAAACACATGGTCTCAAAATTATTTTATCTATACACATAATATATTATTATTTTATTATACACCTAATAAAATGAATGTGTGTGTGTGTGTGACTGGGGTGTCCACTTACACAGACAGGCTCCCACTTCCACAAATAGCTATATCTCCCAATACTCAGGAGGCACCAATGGCCCTCCCTCCGATGACATTACAGGTTATAGTGAGTGCCGTGAACATGTCCAAGAGCCTGCTATGTCCTCCACAAACACCACTACCCACCACCCAAGGAAGGCTTTCATATGGGGACAATTTCATCCTAGATTTTATGTGTTTCCTTTACCACAGACATCCCAGTGTTTCTATTCTCTCCATTGGTGTGGAATTTGCTTTTTTTTTATATAATTTATTCAAAGTTTTTTTTGGGGAGTACATCAAGAGGTGTCAATCATTGACGTATCATTGAATAAAATAAATCCATAGGTAGTGTGCAGGGATCAGGGATGTGACGGGAGGAAGAGGGAGGGAGGGGAGTGAAGAGGTGTGCATAGGGTTTGGGGAGAGTGCACGGAGCAGGTGGGAGTTGAAGGGAAGAGAGGTTAGTTTAGTTGTCTAATGATTATAGCCCGGTTCGCATGGTAGATATAAAATGGTTAGGATTCTTCACGAGCTTCGTCTATTTGTGGTTAATTAATGTTGAAAAATTTTCTGACTGGAGACCAATCCACTTTGCTGGTCGTCCTTGGTTGTTTATTTTTCAGGTATTCTGATAGGCAGTCCATATTCATTATATCTAACAATTTGAATGTCCATTCGTCAATCGTAGGGGTTTCTTTGTGTTTCCACTTTTTGGCTATCACTATTCTTGCTGCAGTCATCATATGAAAGAGCAGCTTGTCTTTGTTCTTGTCCAGTTGTAGATCATGAATTCCTAAAAGGAAGTATTCCATTGGTGTGGAATTTGCATGACCCCACCCACTGACTCTCCTTTAACCCTTTCTTATTGTTTTCTATAGCACTCAGCAACTGAACATACTGCAGAGGTTTGGGGAGAATTCATGATTTATCGGAGTTGTAGGTATTTTATTACAACATTTATTACAATAGTATTAAAAAAAAACTCTAAAATTACAACAGCAAAACAACAGAGGGAAAACAATCAGGGACATCTAATCACCTCTCAACAAAAGATTTCCCCAGGCACTGCCAGGCCATCAAATGCTAATCAAGGTGGTCAGTTGAAACATTCACACCTAGCTCCAGCAGACAAGAGTCCTTTGTCCCACCCTGGTCATTCCACAGATATATA